ATGATTTACATGTACATGTATACAGTCAATCCTGTCTATTCCGGACACCTTGGGACCCAATAATACCCTAGCTCCTGATTATGAACCTGTCCTTATTTCAGAGGTTCATTAATACGCATTACTATTGTATTGGGACTGATACTACCCCTCCTCATTATAGAGGTGTCCAGAATAGACACTGTATGGTAATTGGGTATTCTTATTAATGAATCATTTGTACATGTACATGTTATTAATTATTACTGGCTAACGTTAATTTATTCTTCAATAGAGTGTATGCCTCCAGTAGCCACAGTTTATCCAGTGGTGAGTGTTGAGATATGAATTTAATTAACCTGTTCCTACTGGGAACCAACGACTATAAATAAAATAATAATAATAATAATACAGTAATCTAACCAATTTTGGAACAACTTCAAAAATTCATAAAAAATTCAATTTTGATTGGAACCAGCTCAAACTTTCTGCACAACATAAGTACATGTATATGCATCAGGAAATGTAATAAAAATTGAGAATTCTCTACTTTTCATTTCTTGCAAAATTTGGCCCGTGACACTGTACTATAGTACAGGGACTTTTACTCGATTTTGGAGCAACTTAAAAAATTTCTTAAAAATCCAAACTTGATTAAAATCAGCTCAAACTTCCTACCCAACATAAGTACATGTATATGGTTCAGAACAGTTCCCAGTTACATCAGTATATATAACATATTAGACTATACAAGTACATGTCCTTACTTGATGATGATTAGTTCCATCAGTAGAGAATGAGACTACTAATAAATGAGAGACGATGCAGCAATAGAATCCTCTCCAGAACCATTCGTTAATAAGGTGGACATTATCTATTGTAATAACTGACCCAACCCTCAGACCATAATCAACCATATCCTTATGGATCAATAACCTATAATAGTAATAATAATAATAATAATAAAATTAATTAATTAATTACTTTATTTTATTGTCTAGTTCATACACTCCTCCTTCAGTACACAATAATTTACTAATAGTGCCCTGAAAATACACAAACAAACAACAACTAATAAAGTGAAAAACAACAATATCTCACACCCACATGCAGACGTTGCACGTCTACTGGAATTTTCATGTACTTATATTTACTTGTATTTTGAAAAAAGCAGGTCGTGTATGTACTTGTATTCAATGGCAAACTTTCGTGTATGTACATTTACTTATTGCTTCCCAAATTTGTCTATATTTTGGTGATTTTTCGTTTACTTTTCATGTATCCTGTACTTAAATGTTGAGTCATTGAAAGGATAATATCGTTACTACCTTTTCTATTGCTGTTTTCATCATCTGCTATTGCTAGAAGGACTAAAAAGACCATCAAAGATCCTTGGTTAAGCAAACTAACTGCCATTTTGACTGCTACGTGGACACACCATTTAATCATTAATAGTTAATATAAATACATGAAAATCATCTCCTCAGACTCTGTCTACTTATTTTTGGTTCTTGTATATACTTGTATGTACTAGAAGACCTGTTTTTCATCTAAATACTCGTGTATCGTGTATACACATGCAACGTCTGTCCACATGTACATGTACTTTTACTTAACAAAACTTACATTAATTGGATTAATGTATTACTTAACAATAGTCAGTTTCAGTTATAAGTTATCTTCATTTTAAACTGACGTACATGTACAAGACTTTTGTCTTATTTGTATTTTTATAGATTTGCCCAAAAACCAGTTCCACAAATTTAATTTTTGTAAATTAAGGCAATCCACCATCTTGTACAGTATATTACTGTATAATCTTAACAAAACCAAAAAGCAGTGAATGTTAAGTCATTCATAAGTTTCCAGCTACATACAGTATCATAAATTACCTCTATTTAAACAATAAATTACTACTAACAATAATAACTAATACATATACATGTACATGTACTGGGTATATCTTACAGTATAAGAGAGTAGACTAGCTCCATAGTCCTTGAGTGTGAGTAGTGTATTATCAGTAATACTCTCAGACTGAGGGATACACTGGGACTGTACAGTAGATGATAATAGTCTAGTCTCCTCTACTGATCCTTTATGAACTAGACACTGTTTTAAACTAGTGATAGTATAGGCTCTATCACCAACTGAGATATACTGAGAATAATGGAATAAAGATGGGGCCTATGAATAATAATAATAATAATAATAATAATAATAATAATAATAATAATAATAATAGTAATAATAATAATAATAATAATAGTAATAATAATAATAATAATAATAATAATAATAATAATAATAATAATAATAATAATAATAATAATAATAATAATAATAATAATAATAATAATAGTAATAATAATAATAATAATAATAGTAATAATAATAATAATAATAATAATAATAATAGTAATAATAATAATAATAATAATAATAATAATAATAATAATAATAATAATAATAATAATAATAGTAATAATAATAATAATAATAATAGTAATAATAATAATAATAATAGTAATAATAATAATAATAATAATAATAATAATAATAATAATAATAATAATAATAATAATAA